CAGCGGCCGCGCGGCAGGAGAGGGGGCCGCGGCGGGCCTCCGCCGGGTGGCGCCCTGCCGGCGGACGGGGCCGCTGGCGGGGCGGCCCGCGCGCCTTCCCTCCTGTCGGGTTCCAGCGGCTCCGCAGGAAGTCGATGGCTCGGCGGCTGCTTGACAGGCCGCCAAGCTCTGCTCCCGCCGCAGGCGCTTCATGCAGCGCCGCCCGAGCCTCCCTGAGCTTCTCGAAGAGGCGGGACGGCTCGTCGGCGGAGTTGCATTCACTCGGAATGCAGCGGAGCGCCACCCATGCGCCCGTCGCAATCGAGAGAGCAGCCAGGCGGCGGACCAGCTGCAGGAGCCCGAAGGAAGCCGCGCGCCTCTTGAGAAACAAAGGGCTACGCCGAAGTTGTCGACAAGGACGAGGTGCCTCTTGTGGTGCTGGCAGGGGTCCCGAAGTTTGAGACTCATACCTTTGATGACGGCCCTACCTTCCATGATACCGATCGGCTCCTCAAACCTGTACCTCCCAGCCCTCCAGCACTTCCAGGAACGCCCCAGGATCGCGGCCTTTAGAACCTCGGGGAAGCCAGTTCGAGGCCGCCAGGCGAACTCCGAGGGGGCCCCGCCGAGCGCGTCGAGGTCCCAAGGGCCCACGTCGGACGTCACTGGGTCGACGAGGGGGTCGAGCTCGGCCGCCCGTGCACGACGACGAGGCGCCCGCTCCGACGGGGGCAGGCGCTCGTACCTCCAGCGCTCGTTCCACCTCCCGATCTCCCCCACCTCCTCTCTGTCGAAGCCAGCCTCCATCGCGCCCCACCCGCTCCCCGAGGCGTCCGTCGCCAGCACAGAAGTAGACCATGGGCGCCCAAAGTTACCTGAGAGCAGGGGGGCCAGGCTGGAGCAGATCAGGAGCTCACGGCAGACGGAACCCCACAAGGGCCTCGGGGTCCAGTAGCAGTCCCGGATGAAGGCGTAGGGGGCCCGCAGGGCCGACAGCGCGGGCCGCTGGTCGAGGCCCTCGACGACGCAGTGGCCCAGGAGGCGCTCCAGAGCCCTGCCAGAGATGGACCCACCCCGAGCGGCATGCCGAAGAGCTCCCCGAAGAGTCCAGGCCCATTTGGGCCTCGCACGGACCGTCCGTCGCAACCCGTCGAAGGCGGTGCCCAGGATATCCGAAGATGTTGAGGCCCAGGAGATCTCGCGAAGCACGAAGCCCTTCCCCTCGAACACCCCGATGAGCCCACGAAGTCGCTGATCGACGCGGTCACTGGACACCCCGAAGACAGTTCGGTTGTCGCAGTAGGGGGGGGGGGGGGGGGGGAACTGGATCGTCGGACAACGGAGGGGCAGGCCCAGCATTCGACATTATCAAGTCCTGGCCGAAGCCAGCCGCACGGAGCAACTCGGCATGCAGAGCCTGAACGATGTAGAAAGACCAGGCCCAACCCATCGGCAGCACGAGCAATCGCGGGAAGACCTCCCCGACATCTGGCAAGGACATCCCCCGCACGTCCGAGGTAGCACCCCCATTTTTTTGCAAGGCTAGCGTCCACGGCTTCGAAGCTGAAGTACTCGCTCAGCGCCGACGGCATCCCACACTGGTAAACAAACAATTCGGTATATCACCCGTGGCGACGAAGACAGGCGACGCTTCGTCTGGTGCCTCGAGCCCAAGTGCATGTTCTCGGCAGAACTCATCTCAGGCTTAGGGGGGTGGCGGAACAACTGGTTGACCCTTCGGCAGTCCAGGGCGAGCCTCTGGCGGCCCTGTTCCTGTTTCACGAAGAACGGTGCAATCTTCCCCTTCGAGGCCCTGCAGAACCCCAAGATCCCACAATCATACAGGTTTTTGAGGAACTTGAGACGAACATCTTCATCACCTCTGATTCTGACATCCGTGTAGGACCCGACGGGCTCGTGGCGAAGACGGTGCCCGGCCACGTCAGCATCGGCCAAGATGTTGTCAAGGTCGGGGCTGCGGCCGAGCTCGGGAGAGACAAACTCAGTCAGGGCGACGAGCGTCACCTGCCCCTCTGGCAAGGACACCTTCGTCGGGTCGCAAGGCTCGACCGCGCATGCAAGCATCTCGTAATCCGCATTCACACCAGCCAACTCACGAAAAAGAGGCGCGGTCAGTCTGTGCATGATCGGGCATACCCGAAGCGATGGTGGAGAACAGGTGCTGGCGAAGTGCGCTATGCAAAGGACTGCAGCCGCCCACGCCCTCAGTCCCGCCACGCTGTGTCGGCGCCGACAGCTCCTGCGGGTCGCACCCGAAGAGCAAGTTCAGGCCGTCGACCGCCTCCTGCGCCGCCGACTTGGCGGCGTTCCAGCGCTTGAGGCGCAGCCGAGCCTTCCTCCCCGTACCGGCACCAGGACGCTGAACACGAGGAACGTCAAGAAGGGGAAAGAGACCACGGCCACACCGACCCCTGCTGCTTCTTGCCGTCGGCGAGGCCAGGCCCCAGGGCGACGCACTCCAAAATTGCGGTCGGAGGAGACCCCCTCATACCTCAAGCCGACTATCATGTCAGAGACGGGGGCGGCTACTGGCGGCACCGCCCCCGCTCCCTTCTTCATTTCTTGGCGGAGGCCGCGGGGTCTGCCATGGCCTTCGCCACCGCGACGCCTGCAGCCCTGGCCTCCCGCGCCTTCCGCTTCTCCTTCAGAATCGCTGCCTCTTTGCTGAGCTCGGTTGCGACATGAGCCCGAAGCGAAGGCACCATCTGGGCCCCTCACGAGCGCTCGCTGACCCCGAGGTAGTGGTCCGACCCCTCGTAGCTCGGCGCCTCTGGGTTCTCAGCCACGGCCCCCTCATGCAAGGTGATCCGCCTCAAGAGGAGCTCGACGCCGACGAGGTTCTTCACGTTGAGCCCGCCCACCGTCGCCAGGAACTGCACGGCCCCGCGGAGGATCGCGTGCTCGTGGGCGGCCGAGCTGCGGGTCCTGACGCCGCTCTCACGCCGCCACTTGCTGGCGCGGTCGATCAGGCTGGCCACGCCATCCCTGACCACCGAGTCGACCCACTCGGCTCCGATGGCGGGCCCCTGCAAAGGAGAGGCAGGGAGGCCCTCCGCTTGCCGCGTGCAGGCCGTCATCGTGCCCACGGCGTCGACCAGGGTCCGCTCCGTCGGGGACCGCGCCAGGATCCTCGGGCCGTCGCAGAGGAAGTTGCTGCGCGCCAGGGCCCAGCGAGCGACGTCGGCGCCCTCGGCCAGCTGCCCGAGCGCGGCGGCGCCCCCGTCGATCACCGCGAGGGCACGGGCCCCCAGCACCGCAGCCCCTGCAGGCAGCGTGAACTCCTCGCCGACGTCGTGGCCCACGAGCGGCTCCGCGAGGACCCACGCCCCGCCAGCTGGGACGAGGCGGGGGGCCCCAGGCGCAGGGGCCACGGCGGGCACGGGCGTCGCCACCGCGGCGGCGCCTCCTGGCGCTCGGGCCGCCTCGCCCAACAGCTGGAGCCAACGGTGGGCCCGCTCCAGGTTACACACCTGGTCCGCCTCCGCCAGCATCTCGTTGACCTCGGCGGGCGTGAGCGCCGCGAAGGTGTAGAGCACGTTGCCAGGGAAAGGGAACCCTCGCGGCCGCACGTCGACCGAAGCCGAGAAGCGGATCCCCTCCAAGTCGCCGTTGTTGAGGCTCAGCTGCTCCACGAAGACGTCGAAGTCGGGCGACACGACCGCGTACTCGTCGTTCTCGACGAGGGAGCCGACGAGCCTCGCGTGGTGCTCGCCAGCGCCGTAGTGCACCCACGCGGCCGACGGCGTCCTCGAGCGCGAGCGCGCTGGCGCACCGACGCGGCCAGAGCCGCCCCAGCGCAGCCTGGGCTCGACCAAGCCCGAACCTGGCGAGCTCCCACGCGAGGAGCGTGACGAGGCCGAACGAGACCTCGACGCCCCAAAGGAAGTCGACCTTGGCCGCCTCGGGGCACGGCGGGCAAGGGTCGGGGTATTTGACCTGAGGCGCAGGTGCCAGGCACGCCTCCAGCTCCGCGCACAGCTCTTGGGCCAGCGCGGGTGTGGGCGGCACCGCGGCCGCAGGACAGCCCCGCGCTGGCGGGGCGGGCGCCGGCGCCTCCACGGGCGGCGCCGGGGGCGGGGCGCGCGGCGCGCGAGCGGCCGCCCACAGCTGCCCGATCCAGGCCGAGCCGACGTGGAAGGCCAAAGGCACCACGCCCTCGGCCGCCGCGCATCCAACGCCCTGGAGGCCGCGGTGGTCGGTGGCTCAACCAAAATGACTTGAGCCAGAAAAGATTACAGAGCAAAAACACACCCTCACGACGCTCAACCCTCTGAGGAATCAACCACCAGCAAGCAATTATAGGAAACCGGAAAAGGGAAACCGGAAACCGGAAAACGAAAACTGGAAAACAGAAACCAACAACCGGGGAACGGAAACCAAAAACTGGGAAACAAAAAAACATATCACGGACAACGGAAGACAAACAACCGATACTGGAAACTGGAGCATGGCAAACGGAAACCAAACAGAACAATCGGAAAACGCAAAAACATAATCGGAAAACGGAAACCGGACCCCAAAAAACGGAAGCCACAAACGGGAAAACGGAACAATGTTTTTTGATCGAATGTTCCGTTTGCCGTTTCCGTTATGGTCCAGCGCCCCAGCTGACCAGAACCATCTGCGGAAGAGTTCTGAGGAGAAACGGGTACCGTTTCAGACTCCCTCCTCCTCCTGCTCTTCCTCGTCCTCCTCGTCCTCCTCCTCGTCCTCCTCCTTCTCGGCCTCCTCCGCTCCTCGGCCTCCTCAAGCTCCTCTCTCATTCCCATCGTCCCCAGCGGCCCTCCTCCTTCTCTTATCCCTCATCCTCCCTCTTCCTCCTCGTCCCTGTGCTCCCCCTGCTTCTCCCACTCTCACCTTCTCCTGGTTACCCTCCTCTTCCCTACCCCTCCTTTTCCCCCCTCTCCTCCTCCTCCCCACCAGCATCCCCATCCTGCTCCTCGCTCCTCCTTCCTCATCGCCTCCCTCTTACATCCTCCTGCCCGTCGCCCCCGGCTGGCCAGCGACAAGCCGTTCCAATCGATTTTCTTGAGGTTCGGCGCCCAGTCCTGGGGGTCCTTCGCCGATCAGCGCAAACTGCAGGAGCCGAGATCATATGGAGGGGCGGAAGGAGATGGAACCTGCTGACGAGAATGGTGAACGATATGAGGATGAGGAGGAAACGGAGAGGGAGGAACAGTGGAAGTTGGAGCAACAAGAGACTGGAGGGAGGCAGAAACTTACGTAGGACGAGGAGGGATAATAGGAGGGGATCAAGCTCACTCGACCCGAGGAGTGGTGCCGAACGATGTTGCATGTCGTGGACGCGTGGCTGAAGGACAAACATCCGCAGTGCGAAATGTTCTCGTTGTCGTCGTCGCGCCTGCAACCCGCCTGACTTCGCGCGCATGTGAAGAAGCCGCCTGCGACCCACGGTCGCGAGACAAGGAGGAGGAGGAGGAAGAGGAGGAGAGCGGATGGATAATGATGGGGGAGGGGGATCACGAGCGTACAACTCGTCGGACGCAGATCCTCGGGCGAACGCGCATCCATCGTTGAAAAGTGGGCTGAGATGAAACGGAAATCGCTGTGGCGTCGGGAAGGAGGATTATATCGAATTCTGAGAGGACCCGCTGTGGTACTGGAAGGGAGGGAGGGGCGGGAAGGGAATGGGATGGCAAGAGGCGGAGCGATGGGGGAGGGGACAAGGGAGGAGGACGCGCAACCAACGGTGGAGAGAGGTGGCGCGGCTTCTCGACCGCCCGCGGCTAGGCGCCACACCCTGGACTGGCCCGCGCCAGCGCGAGTGAAAGACTCCCAGAGTGGAGCGTCCCCCCTCCTCCTCTCAGGGTGTGCTACGCCCTGGCATCGTACTCAACGGGTCAACATCTGGTCCTCACATCTGGTCAACATCGTACAGCGCGAAAACGAAATGCAAACGAAGTCGTGCTGCTGTTCAGCGAAGACGTACTGTTACTGAAAAACGACGCCGCACTAGAAACAAACTGCCGTCCAATATGATGATTGTCCATCGGGTACAAGGTCATGGCATCTATGCTGCACCAGAAACTGTTTAGAAATGGCGCCGACGAATGGGTGCGAGACTTTCGATACGGCTTCCGCGCATGCTAGATAGTAATAACTACACACACATCAACCACTCTGGCGGGATGCTGTTTCTGATGTCGGACCAAGCAAAACATCGGATAGTTTGAGGCCAGGCATCATCCGTGATGTAGTGCAACAATTTAGGCAACCCATGGGGATGGTGGGCATGATGCAAGCACACATTATACGACAGCCAGCATTTCGCCATACACGACCACAGGAACTCGTCTTCAGAAAAGCTTCAGCGAGCAAGCATTGGCCAAGTATGCCCATTATTGCCCCTGCTTCTTCATAGCGGTGCTAAGCTGTTTCCTGCACGACGTGCTCGACCACCTCGGTCTTCATGACACATCGGCAATCTTGGTTACGTGAGATCCACATGCTGACGACACGCATTGTGGCTTCAATGCGTTAGGGGAACCTGCAACATCTGCTCAACGCGGCTGTCGAGGAGAGCATGTAAGATGGTTTGGAGCTTACTTGGTGTACAACAGTCCAGACACAAGTCTCGACAAGAATGCGGATCACGAAACCAAATGGTGGACCGAGATCTGCAGTGCGGGAGGCCGTGTACTAAGGTGGACGTATCAAGAGTCACTTGCGATGGAAAGGCGGCGGCGGGGCTGTCCCCGCGCATTGGAGAAGCGAGTGGGTACTTGAAAAGCTAAGGGAGGTGTCGTCCTATTCGTCCATAGCCCTGGTACGTAAGCTAAAGTTCTTCGAGGCCTGCGTGCTGAGCAGGCTGTTTTTTTCCCACGGTTATGTATGATTCCTTCGTGCTAAACGGCTCCAGCTAGATGCTTTCCACTGCAAAATCCTTAGACACATCTCGAGCATCCCTTGTTCATAAGTCTCCCGAATCACCAACGATTAATTTCTACTCAGAGCATGAACAGAATCACTCTCCGACACCTTGGCTTCGCGGCAATTCGCCCTATACAAAAAAAACGCGAGCAACGGCGCCTAGTAGTCAGGGAAGTTGTTTGGAACCCTGACGGATTCTCATAGCTTTGGGTGGTAAGACGACAAGACGATAAGACGATAAATATGATCGGCTTCTCGGCTTATCGGCTGATCGTCTGGCGGGACCATATATCGTCTTATCGTCTTATCGTCTGGCGGCTCTCTTTATCGTTTTAGTTTCTGATCGTCTTGTATCGTCTTATCGTCATATCGTCTGGCTTTGAACTAGCAAGCGCTGGTTTTGCCAACAATGTATATATATATATATACATACATCACTCGCAGCAGGGTCTACTCACGTAGTCACGAACGAGGTGGTCAACTCCGATGCATAATCTGCAGCTGGGCGAGCCTCAGTTCAACGCGACTAAACATGCTCTGTGGGCGAGATCAAAGTGCCACGTGTGCCTTGCTGGTTGCCTCTTGCGCACATCTGGCACAGACTAACCCAGTTCATTGCTTCCCAATTGCAGAATAGGTAACACAAACTTGGAAGCTTCAACTGACTCTCAAGATTCGTGCAAACACGCTCTCTTGCACCCGAGGCCGCAATGCCAGCGCGCATTCTCCGCTGGAAGAGAACTGCACCTAGACGACCTCCGCGCAAATTGCAGTAGGATTTGAATACCTTGATGCACCTTGATGCGTTCAAGGCTTTCAAGCTCCATATCGGCCTGAGAAAGCTTCACATAGCCCCGAGAAGCGCACAAGACGGACGCAAGAGGGCCCGAAGACGAACTCATGACGGTCCGCAAATCCCTCCAACTGGCCCAGAAGGCTCCAAAACGCCACCTCTACTCTTAATGGTCGTCGATATTTTTGCGGACGCGAGGGGGTCCGGGTCAGCTTCCTTCTCCCGGAGCAGCGCACACGGCGACAGGATGCAGAAACAGTGGCGACAGCGTGACACGACACGACATACGGGACACTTACGCAACCGCGTACCCAGAACGTCGTCATGTTGCAACACGTCGATTCGGCGTTCGCATGGCAGGAGGGAAGAAGAAGGAATTCGCCCGCCTCTCTGTCCCTGGGGGCCCCCGCTCGAAACCCTGTTGGCCCTGATGAGTCATTCTCCTCCCGCCGACCTTCCCTCTTCGTGATTCGCCTGGAATTGGGGCTCGGAATGTTATCCGTACGTGGCCCTGTGGGCTGAGCTCAATGATGCCCGTGTCTCGGCGCTAAAACCTCCTCTCGATCACTCCCCCCAAGATGCCCCCGCTGACAGTGAAACACCGGTGCTCGTCTCGGCTCTTTCCGTCCCCTTGGCGGTCCTCCCGAGACGAGAGCAACAACGAGAAACAGACGGCGGACCGGAGATCAGTCTCTCGGCCGATCGCCGGCCCTGCGTGCCGGCCGAGCGGGCTGCGCGGGGGCGCAGGGTCCCCGCCGCCCCAGCCGCCACCCCAACCGCTGTTGCCGCCGCTCCACTCTCCCCAGCCGTTGCCGCCGCCTGTGCGGGCGCCAGGGGGAGAGGAGAAACGCTAGGAAAAAACGCAACAGCCAGGAAACGAAACATCGACTGCTTGACATGATCCGCACAGTCTGGTGCTTTCAAAGCTGGCACGACAGTGACCAACCTCAGAAAAAGGCAAAGGAGAACGCGTGAAATTGGGCAATGTTGAGTGGCAGATCATGAGAGCCTCCCGTACCATCTTGTTGGCTCATGCGAATCGGCGCTAACCGACGCTAGTCGGACCTCAATCGGCGCTACTCGACTGTCAACCCGCGCTTTCTCATCGACTACCAGACACTGGCGCACGCTAGTGCGCCCTCAAGACGGAATTGCGAAGACATACGAGGCTCCCATCCCCTTGTGGCACGAAGTGGCGTGCCGTCAGGTCCTTTGCCTGGCCCCCTGAGCCTCAGTCCTCACTCCTTAGAAATATTGGAGAGGACCCTGGCCCCAATTTCCCCAATGCACCGCGTCGGATGCGCCGCTCCACAAATCAGTCTCAAATCATGCGCTCCGACTCCCGGGATGCTCCACGCTGGACTAGCGGAACGCCGCTCCGCTAATTGGCCTTAACGCATGCGCGCCGATTCCCGGATGGCATCGCGTCGGATCAGCGGAGCGCAACTCCGCTAATCCGCTTCAAAGCATGCGATTCGCGGAATTCATCATCGGATTAGAAAAGCGCCGCCCCGCTAATCCGCCTCATAGCATGCACGCCGACTACCATAATGCCCTGCGTCGGATTAGCAGAGCGCCACAACGCAATCCGCAACAAAACATGCGATTCGCGGAGTGTTCCGTGTCCGATTAGCGGAATGCCGCTCCGCCAATCCGCCTCACAGCATGCGCGCCGAACCAAAGATACCTGGAATGATCCGCGTCGGATTCGCGCGTCGCCGCTCCACTAATTGGCCTCCAAGATATTGTTGGCGTTTCGCCTGCCTCCTCACTCCCCCGAGAGGCCCCCCATGATATCCCAACGAATATCCACGAAGCCTCGCCCCCAATAGGCCCCAAGAGGTCCCCAAGAGGGACAAAAAAAGGCTCCAAGAGGTCCCCTAAACGGCCGCCCAAGACGCCTCAAAACTGCCTCCAGGAGGCCCCCGAGAGGCCTCCCACGAGATCTCCGAGAACATCCAATAGGCTTCAGACCCACAGCCCAAATACGGTGGCAGGATGGGCCGAATGCCAGTATATCCGCCGCCCCTGTTGATTCATCTCAAGGGTGCCTGGCGTGCTGAATCGTCTCGGTTTTGGTTTTGGTTCTTTTTCCAAAAGAACTCCCCCTGGGGCTTCGGCCCGTCCCGCCAGCCACCCGGAAGGCGCTCAATTCCCCAATGTTTCGCCCAAGATGGCCTCCAAGATGGCCACGTTGGCCCAAAATAGCCTCCAAGATGGTCCAAGATGGCCTCCAAGTCCGCTCAAGATGGTCCCAGACGGCCTTCCGGACGGCCCAAGAGACTCCAAGACGGCCCAAGATGGCCCAAGAGGCACCCCAAAGGCCTCCAAGACGGCCCAAGAGGCCTCCAAGAGGTCCTCCAGGGGGGCCCGAAGAGGCCAAAAACACTGATTTCCCAGTCGTTTTTGAAGGTTTCTGGCATTCGCTTATTTTCGGCTTTCCGACGACGCAAGACGGCCCAAGGGGCCCCCAAGATCGCCCCCACAGCGCCCAAAAGGCCTCCAAGATGGCCTCAGGACTGCCCAAGAGACCCCCAAGACGGCCCCAAGAGGGCACAAAGAGGACCCAAGAGCCCCCAAGACGCCCAAGATGGCCTAAGACGGCCCTGAAGCACCCCAAGAGAACCCCAAGTCGGCCCAGAAAGGCCCCCCAAACGGCTTCCGACGGCGTCAGACGGGCCAGGAGCCCACCAAGATGGCCGAAGTTGCCTCGAAGCTGGCCCAAGACGGCCCAAGAGGCCTCCAAGAGGGCCTCCAGAAAGGCCAGAAAAGGCCAAAAACACTGATCTCCCATAGGTGTTCGAAGGATTCTGACATTTGCTTTGGTTCGGCCTTCCGACGGCCCGATACGGCCCAAAAGCCCCCAACGATCGTCCAAGAGGCCTCCAAGCTGGCCCCAGAACGGCCCAAGAGGCACCCAAGACACCCGGCCCCCAAGACGGCCCAGAAGGCTTGTAAGACGCCCAGGATGGTCCTGGAGCATTCCAAGAGGGCCCCCCCAAACGGCTTCCGACTGCGTCGAACGGGCCAGGGGCCCACCAAGACGGCCGAAGATGGCACTAAGATGGCCCAAGACGGCCCAAGAGGCCTCCAAGAGGGCCTCCAGGAAGGCCCGAAAATGCCCAAATCATTGATTTCCCATAAGTGTTTGAAGGATTGTGGCATTTGATGTTTGTTCTGCCTTCCGACGGCCCGAGACGGCCCCAGTGCCCCCAAAGATCGCCCAAGAGACCCAAGACGACCCCAAGAGGCCCCCAAAACGGCCCAAGAGGCCTCCAAGACGCTCAAGATGGCCTCCATGACGGCCCAAGAGCCCTCCATGACGTCCTCCCAGAAGGCCCGAAAGGGTCAAAATGGCCTCCAAGCGGCCAAGGTGACCTTCAAGATGCCCACGTGTTCCCCGAAGGCTTTCCAAACCGACTCGGGGAACACATGGTCCGATAGCTTGGCAGGTCTGGCCTCAACGTTCGGCCACATAGGCGCTTCCAAAAAGGCAGGGGGCGGCGGTGACTCGCCGTAGGCGTCTTCGATATGAGGCTCCCATGGGCTGCTACCGAAGGACCCAAGGACCGAAGCAGTGGGCAGCACAGAGCTGCGCGCTCGCCAAGTGTGTGCGCGGCGGCTCGACGACGCGCCGCGCCGCGCGGCCGCGGCAGGGCGCTGTCGCCCCTCCCCATATTGGTGGTGGGCCTCGCAAAGGTCAGAGGGGCGGAGGAAGGGAAGGGCAGCCGTGGGCCTTTCGAACTCCAACGCGCGCAGGCAGGCTGGGAGGGCGGAGGGGGGCGGATGCAGAACAGGAAGCGGCGGTGGCGGTTCAGCGGCGGCGCAGCAGAGTGGCGGCGGAGGGGGGAAGGCGGAGGAAGGAGAAGAGGGGGGTAGGGGAGTGGCGAGGGGAAGAAAAAGAGAGGCCGAAGGAGGAAAAACCCACCACCCTCCCAAGTCTCTGCCGCCGCTTATGCAGGCGCCAACGAATGCCACTTCCCTACACGCACGCACGCGCACACGCACACGCACACGCACACGCACACGCACACGCACACGCACACGCACACGCACACGCACACGCACACGCACACGCACACACACGCACACGCACACGCACACACACACAGGCACACACGCACACGCACACGCACACGCACACGCACACGCACACGCACGCGCACGCGCACGCGCACACGCACACGCACACGCACACGCACACGCACACGCACACGCACACGCACACGCACACGCACACGCACACGCACACGCACACGCACACGCACACGCACACGCACACGCACACACGCACACGCACACGCACACGCACACGCACACGCACACGCACACGCACACGCACACGCACACGCACACGCACACGCACACGCACACGCACACGCACACGCACACGCACACGCACACGCACACACACACACACACACACACACACACACACACACACACACACACACACACACACACACACACACACACACACACACACACACACACACACACACACACACACACACATACACACGTTTTGCGTCGGCGGCTGGGCAGAGGGCGACTGCTCCAGCGAAGCGGCAACAAGGGGCACGCTGAATGCGAAGGAAGGCCGCAATGCGCGGAAGGAAGAGGAGGAGCTCCAGCGCGGCAGGAAGAAAGAAACCGGCCAGTCAAAGCTGCCGGCCGCGGCGGGGGGGGGGGCGCCGAGGGGGGGGGCAGCGCCGGCACAGAGCTGCGCTGAGCTGAAGCCGGGGGAGGGGTGGAAAAGGCAACAAGCAAGGTAGAGCCAACCCAGTGAACCAAGCACAATTTAGAGATGATGGGCCAGTGCGCCGAGACCTGCGGGCCCACGAAGCGCGCGCGCGGGGAGATGGAAGGTGGGCAGGCCCGATGGGAGCTGCCGGCCGCGGCTGGGGGGGCGCCGCATGTGGGAATCAGCGCCAGCACTGAGCTGCGCAGCTGAACAGAGCTGAAGCCGGAGGGGAAGCAGCGCAGAGCTGCAGCCGAGAATGGAGAAGCACAATTTTGCGGAACCCCAACCCAGTGAACCGAGGCAAGGTCCAAGGATGGGCCGACGCGCCGACACCCGCGGGCCTGCGAGGCGCGGGCAGGGCAGGCCTGGCGATGCGCAACGGCGCAGCAGCTGCGCGGCAGGCCAGGGCGAGAAGGGGCAGAGCAACGCCAACTGGGGGGGCGGCGGGCCCAGGGTGCAAGCGGGGCGACGGCCGACGCCGCGGCGCGCCTGCCAGCGGTGGGGCGAGGAGGCGCGAAGCAAGCGACGCCCAGACCCCAGCGGGCGCCGAGGCCAGAAAGGGCCGGTGCCGAGCCCAGGAGAACAAAATCACAGGCGCGGAGAATGGCGGCGGCAAGAGGCGGCGAAGCCAGCCGGAAGCGGGATACGCGAGAAGGCCACGCCCAGCGGGGGGGCAGCGAACCGGGCGAAGCGAATAAGGCTTCGCGGCAACAGGCCAACTGGGCAGAAGCCGATCGAAGTGCCGCGGGAGTAACAACGGCCAGACACTGGTAACCGGCGCTGGGGAGGTGGCAAGGAAACCGGGCAGATGGAGAGGGCGCGCGCAGAAGAGCGAGCGCCGCCGGCCGGCGAAACACGGCATGGGCCAGCGGGGTGCCACGGGCATGCAGCGCCTGGACAAAACCTGCAGGAGGCCGGCGCCCCAGGAGGCGGGGGGCGGCGGCGTGGCAGGGCACCCCGAGGCAAGCAGAGACGGGCGGCCCCGGAGGCCGCGAGCAGGCGGCAGTGCCGCGAAGTCCGGAAGACGAGGCGGCGGGCGCCGGTCAAGCGCCGCCAGCTAGCGCGACCCCACACA